TTCAAGTGAAGCAAAAAGACTATCCCAATTAGGCAGATCCCTTTTGAGAAGAGATTGTTTTTATTTTTGGATTTTTTGGTAGGCCTTGAATTGTTCTCTTTGCTCAATTATTTTTCCCCTTTCCCTTTTTAACTTATCAATTCATTGGTTTTCAGACAATTAACAGTGACAAATGTTGGCAATGATCCTGGTAAATAGAGGTTATTACCAATCTATTAGGGGAGTATAATATTGTTTTCAAAATCTGACTTAGAGTACTTTTGTATAAATATAAGTTAGTCACTTTGTAAAAGTCTATAAAATATTGTAGATTTACTTCAATTTTTTAATAAAGACAAGCCATTATGGCATAATTGCAGGTAAAAAAAAAAAATAATATTTTTTTTATATATTTTCAAAAAATTTTACACCAATTCAATTTTAATAGATTAATTCTCTCAAATAAAAATGACAATAAATTACAAAGTAAATATATTAAATAGATAAAAGTTTGTATTCAAAATTATTAATATATAATATAATGAATATGAGTTATAAACTATAAAGTAATAATTTTCAATTATTAACTAATAAATTTAATATAATACCAGTTTTATTTTATTTATTAAAGTAAAAATTATTTATATATATTATTAATTCTTTTTTTTTTTTAAACTGGCTCATTTTATATTACTTTGGATAACTTTATTAAGAGAAGATCATATTTAGTGACAATTAAAATAAATATTTTTCTATAACATTTAAGGATTTACAGATTATTAAAGAAGAAATAGTACAAAGGATATTTTATTTTTATAACTTGATCTAAGTCTAATCTAACCAGAATAAAAAAAATATATGACCACTTAATACAAATAATCTCTTCTAAAAAGAAAGAAAAAATTTATTATATATATTTAATAGTATATTATTGACTTTCTCCTATAATTGGGTTAGGTACTATCTAGGATTTTCATTTACCAATCAGCCTGTTGCTATCTATGAAAGGCTTAATATATCAAGATTTATTCAAGATGCTTAGTATTAACTGATGCCAAGAATCTCTCTTATTAGTCAAGGTCTAATCAGTATTAAAAAATTGAAGTAAAAGAAAAGAGAGAGATAAAATGAGAAGGGAAGGTTTGAAATATTTACAAGAAGAAAAAATAGGAAAAGGAAAAGTAATACCCAACAACAGCTCTTATATTCAACTTTATTTTTAGAGAAGTATTTCTTCTATATCTTTAATACTTTCTGAAAATAAATAAAGAGAAGAGATAATAGTTTATATGATATTTATCTATTCATATAACTAGTATATAATTTATTATAGACCTAAAGTTCTTATAGAACTTAGGAAATACATTCTTGTTATATATCACATATATTCTTGTTTATATTTCTATTATTTATGCAGCAATCAATTACAATCTTCAACTAATCAATCCATTCAAATATGATATAACTAAAAATTCAAGATCAAGTTGTAATAAATAAAATTCTCTAAAAAAATCAAGAAAAACTATTAAATACTAAAAGAGAAGCTATTTTTGTTTATGGTAATGATACTAGTTTCCTAGGCTGATATGAAATTATTGATTCATACTTCTTTCTAAACTTAAAAAACTTTATATAAAAGAAAAAGAGTATATTTTTTCATTTGATTTCTTTTTTCTACAAAAGTTTTCTTGCCATTAACTTCTTAAATAAAGGGTTTTTGAAGAGAAAAATAAACAATAAGAATAATATATGACTATTACTAAATGAAGCAAGTGTTTTTAAGAAAAGTTTTAAAGTTTATTATTCTTAAAATATAAAGTTTTAAAGTTTTATTACTCTTAAAACATAAAGTTTTAGAGGAATGCTTCTTTGGAAATAATGGTTATAAATCTACAAAAAAAAGTTGTGAAAACCTTAACTTGAGTTTTTTCATTTATATATATTAATGTTATATTGAATAATTATTTGGTTTAATAATAGAAACAATTATATCAGATATACTATCAATTAAATTAATTAAAATATTAGATTCAATTAAATCATATTTATTTTTTAAAGTAATTATCAATTTATTTTTATTTTTAAGAAGATTTGATTGTATAAAAACTTTTCTTTCTAAAACAACTTATAAATATTCAATAAGATTAGAATTCAAAATTTAAGCAGATCATAAAAATAATTAAATTAAATTATATTTTTTTTATTTCTTTATCTATTTTATTTAATATATAAATATATTATTATCTTGAAAAAATATAAATAAAAGGTTTAAAATAATTTTCAAAAACATTGAAATATCTTTGACTATTAATTAAATAAAAGTTTTAATTAAAGGTTCAAATATATTTTATATAAAATAATTCTATACCATTATACTTTTTTTACCTAATTTTATAATAGATAAAAGATATTCTATATAATATTTTTTATATAAATTTTATCAAATCCATTTATATAAATTATTCTTAAATATTATATATTGAGATTCATTATTTCAAATAACTAATAGACCTACAGGTCAATAGTGCAATGGTTAGCACTTCATAGGTCAGATCACAAAATACAGGTTCAAATCCTCAAGGGAGCTAATGTGATTCTCCTGTACCACAAGCAGGTAGAATCTGGCAAATCATCCATTGGCCTAAACATATATAACCGATGTTTCTGAGTATAGCTGGTGCAAATCAAGATAATCAATAGCTTTTATTGTGTCATGTTAAAAATTAAGATCTCCACAATACAGTACAGTCTATATAAAGATTGTGATCAGGTCTTTATCCAAAACTGAGTAGGATTATCCTTGATAGGACCATGTTATCACTTATTGGTAACAAGAAGAGTAGATCCCTAAACCGGTTGCATACCGCTGAGGAAGAACTGACTGAAGATCTTATCCAATTTCAAGACTTCAAGCATGTATCTATGTTTTAACCCATAGACTTAACAATTGGGAGGCCTTGGTGGGAGGAGAAATCTGTAGACCACTCTGAAGAATCAAAAATCAGATCCAGGATAAAGAAAATTTGATGGCCTGATAACCAGACTACTTTTAATAAAACTGGTCTGGGAAGAATTAAGAAGGAATTGCATAGTTTTCAGATGAGGTAGTGCTTATATATAGTTGGTAATATATAGATAGCTACTCATGTATATAGATTACTAATATAAGCAGATGTATGAGTACTTGTTAGTATATATGTATATACTGTACAAAAAGAGTAATGTAAGCAGCTGAGCCAAAACAGTTGCCTTATATGAATGTACAGATATATCACTAATAAAAATCGTGGTAACAAATTTATGACACAATGGATAACAAACATTATAGATAACTTTTATATCTTAGAAATTTATTTTAGCACTAATCCAACTTTGGCAGGTTAGCCCCCACTAAAGAGGTGGCAACAAGTCATAAGGTGAGTTCCTCCTAAGAGAGGTTATCTCTATTGAGTTTTGTTTGGTAGTAGACTAGTAGTATATTCTAGAAAAATTTCTATGTAATAATACTGCATAAATACAAATAAAACAAGGCTAAGCCAGTGTTAAAAAAAAAAAAAAAAAATTCCAAATAACTAATTGTCACTAAATAATTCAATTTTTTTTTATTATACAATTTTAACTTTTTTGCCTATTTGTTTTGAAATAAAAGATTTTTTCATTACAATTCAACCATAATAATCTTATTTATAGAGTGTATGATAAATAGTCTTATCACTAACCAAAATAGCTATGGCAATATTGAATTTTTTAATAATTTGTTCTATGAATTGTTGCGATCATCCTTAACAATTTTAATTATACACCTGATCATATAAACACTTATTATTTATCTACCTGATCTTGAAGCAATTTTAGTCTTTTCAAATTTCTTATACCTATTGACCAAACTTGTAATTGTTGTTCTTGATCATTTTAAAGTCTCTGTAATCTTTTTATATGAAAAACCATCTTTAAAAAGATCAACTATTTTACTATGTTCAAAATTTGTTAACTGAAAACCTTTCTTTGATTTTTGAATGTTTGACATTATCGTAACAAAATTTTTTTATTTTTATTTGAAAGCTACAGTTTTCAGCTTTCTAAAAGTATAAATATTTTATATTTACAACCGAATTTGTTGCGCTATTGAATCTTGACTTCAGGTGAAAATTTCTTATAATGATATTATTTGATTATCATTTACTGTACATATTGTTTTACGAACGAATCAGAGATCTGGGTATGACAGCCAATCATATTTAGTCTAGTCATATTTATTCACCATAAATTATAAATTCGCAGGTGCTTTCTTTATTACTGAAACATTTTTTACTTTAAACACACCAACCATTTTTGGAAAATTAATAACTTATTAGTAATGTTATCTGACACCGCAAAAATCTTGGTATTTGAAATTTTTAATAATATAATTTACAAAGTATTTTTTTTTAATGAACGTTCAGATCTTTTGCGTTGTTTTAGGTGATGACATTGAGAAATCTTTCCCGGTTGATGTCAGTAATGACATGACCATTGGGCATCTCAAGGAACTAATCAAAAAGAAGAAGGAAAATACCTTTGTCAATGTTGACGCCAATGTTCTGAAGCTATGGAGTGTGAACATTCCTACCGAAGGTAAAGATCTGGAAGCCAAAATATACGCCGAAAATATCAAAGAACAATACCAAGGCATAATGTTATCTCCATTCAAAACTATTGGAGAATATTTTCACGAATCCTCTAGTAACATCCGAATTATTGTACAACCGCCCGTCACCACTGGTAAGTGTCTTGCCTCGTGAATAAGAAAATTGAAGTTAGCTCATTCTTTTATTCGATCAGGAAAAAGAAAACTGGATGATTCGGATGAAAGCAAAAGCATTAAAAAAATGAAACTAAAAGGTGTTTATAAATAAATGGATATACTGTATATTTCATTTTGATGCTAAACATCAATGTCTTAACATACATAATTATTTGTTAGATGCTTCCCGTCAAATCATTAAGGACATAAAGAAACTTGATGGGAATCCTGCTGTTTACTCAAACCCTCAAAACTTCCTTTCATTACCATTCCCATATCCCGGATCAAAAAAACCAATAGATAGGTTTTCTATCAATGGTGATGGTTTTTTTACCTTCATGGGAAGAAAGAAATTCAGCAATGTTCTAGACAAAATCAAAGAATTTAGAGCGAATATTGGTTATATGAAAATGTTTATTTATGGCACAGTTGGGTATGGAAAGTCACATATTCTCGCAGCAATAGCTTGCTTTCTTCTCCGGAGCGAAAGGCGTGTTGTATATCTTCCCGACTGCCGCGAACTGGCTGTAAACCCAGTAAACTACATTAAATCAGCCTTATTTCTCACCTATGTGGAAGATGATGCGAAAATAAGCGAAATTGATTCCTGTAAAAATTTTGATCAAATCGTAAAATTTTGTGAATCATTAGATGAAACGCTATATTTTATCGTAGACCAAATGAATGCTCTGGACGATTGTGATAATACTGGAATTAACCTAGAAAAAAAGATTCAAGTTAAAGAAAACCTCGATAAAATGTGTACAGATCATTTTTATATCATGAGTTCTTCAGCAAACAACAAAGCAGTATGGCACCTTAGGCAAAAACAGACTAATGAAAAGAAAATTGAACTTTATGGAGGATTCGATAAGGTAAGACTAAGATGCCCTACGGTTTGAATTTTCTGTGTATTAATGTAATGTTAATTTAGGAGGAGATGGAAGAGTGGTGGAAGAAGTATAATTCCGTTTTACCAACAATGAATAATCAGCGGAAGGATCAAATTGAAGACATCACCGGCAATATTCCGCTCTTCTTAAACGTTTTGCTGGAATCTGATTGTAAGAATTTTGAAGATGCATTGGGTTACTTAAATCAACAATTAACATCAAAGATACAAGAGCCGATGACGAACTTTTCAGACACTATACCAAAAGGAAGACGGGAATTGTATGTATTTTTAGTTTACTTCGTGATTGGTAAACTGTATGAAAACTGACTTATCTATTTACACAGTCACATCGGCTTGATGTCATCGTTCCTGACAAAAGGATATCCTCCATGTGGCTACGGAGTTAATGATTTTGATCATCGCTTCTTCTACATTGAAAATCAACACTGTCATTATGTCTGTGGGATGGCACGGGATTGCATGGCGAAATATCTCTATGAAAAGGGCAAAATGGAAGTATTTACAGATATAAAGTGGATCAGTTGCATAGAGAAATTCAAAAATAACCCATCGGTTAAAGGATTTTTTGTGGAGAAGGCGTGTATTGCTAGTATTTTCAAGAATGGAATAATGGCGAACCGTGTAAATTTTAAGCCTGACGATATGGAATTTTTTGATGATGAAAGCGATATCCGATTTTCTTCGAATGAAGGGAAATGTATGCTTTACTTACCTCGGTGTTGGAACCAAGAGGCGATTGATGGATTACTGATTTCGCAAACAAATAATAAGTTGTATGTTGCCCCAGTACAGATTACCCTTAATAAGAGTAGTCATTCAGATTCTGAAGGAAAATTTTTCTCCAGTATTTGGCCAAATTTAAAATCAAACTTATCAGGCTTTGAAGACGGATTGGAGATAATATTTATATGGATTACAAGCGAAAGTGAAACAGACGTGACAGTGGAAAGTAAGTCTAGAAAAATACGGAATAAATATTTTGAAATTAATCCCGATTACATTCAGGTAGTAATGGGATTTGGTAATGTCAACAGAGAGATTGATCGATATCTATCTTAGTTTATAGAGAAAATTTAGTTCACATTGATGAAACAATAAAAAAAGGTTTATTTTGTGTTGAAATTTGCAAATCTTTAATTTTTTTCAAAATCAATTTATAAAATAAATGGAGTAGTGAGTTTCAAGGGAGGAAACATCTCGAGCCCTAACCCGTAAATGAGAGTTCCTTCCCGACACACACTATCAACTGTTTTCTATCGATCCACGAACTGATTTTATATAAATTGCTATCTCATAAATCGTTAATTCTACGATAAAAATTTTTGATTATATACTTACTAAGTTTTCCCACCCAAAATTAAGATCAACCATTACCACATTACACATCATCAAAAGAACATTTCCTTTCTGTCATAATTCTATCAAAAATAATTTAAATTGGTTCCAGATTTCTGAAGTCATATCTGAAAATGATCTTTGACTTGAATTGGAAGCTTCGGATTGATCCGCTTCCTAGATAGGCTCAACTCTTATTTCAGGAGAAATGACACTTCATGCCAGGACGATGGTATAATACCGATTGATTTAGTTCGAATTCGTTAGTAACTCTACCAAAATTTTATGGTAGTTTTGAAGAACTCGTTTGATTTTATCAAATCTTGCAATATAAGTATTAAACATTGTAAAAATTCTTTGACCGTAAATTCATCACTAGATTATTTCAGCCAGGAGTCTGGCATCACGATTGGGAAAGCTCAGTGGTTAGTTGAGCATCATGATTACAAGAATTTTTTCAAATATGATATCACGTGAAAGATGTGTCTTGCTCAGTGATACGTGAAAAAAAAAAAATGTGAAAAGTGAATGGAAATTTTCTCGATAGACAACAACAATAGGCTGGTAAAATCCGAAAATTGAGCAATTCCAAAAGCAGTTATTGATGTCATCTATAACCAGAAAAATGTATACGTATGCATGAGTGTGCGCTCGCATCCCACTCACCAAACCAAACAGTTTTTCAATAATCTAGCAGAACAATTTGGCTGCCTAAATGATAGCAACAATGAGCCTTACGCTACGGAAAGCACCACTTGTAATAATTCTCAAGAGAATCATGGGTGTGTTAAAGAGTTAATTCGAGGATTTCAGCTACTATCAGATGCAATTAATAATTATATTGACACAATTATATACCGAATGAAAAACTTGATCCTGGTTCTAATATTCCCAAATCTTTTGGAACATTCCCAACTGTCAGTATTAACTTTAATTCTATTCGTCAATTTCACAGGGATCTAAAATATCAAACGCAGTACACTGTGTTGTCTGCCCTCTTAGAACGTTTGAAGGCGGGCACGTAGTATTTCCGAATTAATGTTGGCGGTCAATGTAAATCAAGTACAGGAAATCCTTTTTGATGAGGAGGATTTAAAAATGTCAGAGATTCTAGATAATGTCCAATCGATTGTAAATGATGTTAAAAAGTATGACAAGAACTACAAAAATATTCTCACCTAAGTTGAGTTCTCGAAAATCTACAACAAAATTAAGAAACCATAGGCAGTGTCATCTCGGTAAGTGTATACTATATGTGGACAAGGTTTATAAATAAATATACAGTATGTTAATAAAGTCTTTGGACAAATTTTTGTATAATAAAGTTAATCTAAGTAGCTTTTTTATTTTATTATATACAGTCTGGTTCAAAAAAAACTGGAATTTGTTTTTTTTTATTACACGATAATGGTCATATGAAATTATATGAGCTTTTATTTATATGTAGTTTAGTAAATATATTTTTAAAAAATAAAGTTTAATATGAGATACGCTTTCCCTTATTTTCTATAATTAATTTGCAACATCTTATTGATTAAACCAATTCTATTAGAACAAATTTTTATATTTTCTCCCATTTCTTCCCGATATACTATTCCAACTTATCCTGATTTTTTGATATATATTTCTCCATGTTGCCCTTGACAATATCCCATAGGTTTTTATAGAATTCAAATTGAAACTATTTGATGATCAATCAATAATGTCTGGTATATTTTTACCAATAAAAGCTTTTGCTAAACAATTCGTATGCTTCAGTTTATTATCTTGCTGGAAACATTACTTGTTACTAAACATTTTTTTAATCTTTGGAATAATATTTCCAAAGAATTGACACATAAAAACTAGCATTTATAATCTGATGAAAAAAAATAATATTGATTTTCCCTTAATACAGAACTCTTTCCAAGCTAAAATCTTTATCTGACTTTTTAGTATATAATGAATTGGTTATGTACCCTTGTTAACAATGAATTATCCCTATAAATGTAGTACTCAAGTGTTTGTGAAGAAGCCTCATCAATCTTTTTTAACTAGCTATTTACACCTGAATGTTCATTAGAACTTACTTTTTTAAGCTTTTTTAAATTTTCATAGATAGTTAAGAGAGAAAACTTTGCAAGTGTATGTATTTTTTTTGCATCCCTTATACCATCATCCCACAATTGTAATAGAATTTTATACTGACATTTTTTTTTTGACTGACATTCAATATCTCCTTTCTACAAAACTAGTTAAAGATTAATAAATATTGACTAGTAATATAATATACAATCCTTGATTTCCTTTTTTTATAAAAAAAAAATTTTTAATTATGTGGCAACTGTGTGACTTACAAAGATTTTCTAAAAAAAAAAAAATCCAGTTTTTTTTTTATTCTGACTGTATATATATTTATATATACACCATCTCCCAAAAAGAACTCAACACCTGATCAGTTTTCTTTAAATGCTAAAATTTAAGTACATTAAATCAAATTATGATAAAATTTATAATATAGATAAAATATAATTATGCTTAAATAATGTAAATGTTAAAATAAATATTAAATTAATAAAAAATTTTTTATGATAATTTTTTTAAAATTTACTGTTGTACTATTTTTGAAGTTTTTTTAAAAAAATAATAAAATTTATTCATTTATAAAATATATATATATATAATTATCAAAAAACTCTTTCCTACTTACATTAAAATTTGGGAAAATTTTCTTTTATGGTAACAATCCAAAGTTCACAAGAAAAAACCCAACACTCGCAAAGAGCTCCTTTAACAAATATGTTCAGAAGGTCCTCTAGAGTCAAGGACACAGTAGTTAACTACATCAGCAAAAGAATTATCATTGATAGTGGCAAAATTGCAAAACCAATTCTAAAGATCAAACTATCAAGCAAATTCAATCCACTTATCAGTACTAAGAGAAACAAAATGTCAACAGACAAAGAAAAGAAGACAGCAGTCTTAACAACTATATAGGACCTCACCCAAAACCAAGACGAAAACATGGAACTCAAGAAAGAAAAACAGGATAACAGCATAAACCCTGAAGAGGGCACCATGGAAATCATCAAAACAATAATAGAAATGAATATGGAATTCAAATCACCATTATCAGTAACAGTAGCCTCAACAACTGCAACATCAAAAGCAGGGAAAGAGACTCTAAATGGCACAGAAAATATCACTAATAACCAGTACAATTATGAAGAAGAGCAGAAACTGAGGAACACAGCAACCGAACAAACAACTTTCAAAGAAATCTCTAACACACTTTGTTTAGAAAAGATCTATATAGATATAAAAGAGTTGCTGGGACTTTTAACTGAAAAAAAAATTTACCAAGTTCATGACAAACTGGTATATCTATCAATTCTTAAACACATTCGAATAGAAGAACCAATCAGATCTCAAACTATCGCAGCTATTTTTAATAACTACCATAATGCCATTGCTGCATGCGAGATTTAGATATCTGACAATGAGACTTCCAAATTTCGATTAGCACTCCTACTCAGCATATAGAATGCAAAGCCTGATCCATTAGAATCTGGGACATCTCCAACTACTTTTAAAAAGGGATATCACAAACCTATTTCAAGACAAAACCCAGATTGAATACATAACTCTGCAATCAGCAGAACAAGTAAAATCTAAAATTGTCCAATTTATAACAAGAGAGGAATATGAGAAACAGGTCAAAAAATGGCTATCTACAAAGATACCTTCTGTATAAGAGTATATTCAATAGTCAGAACCCGTATTACAAGAGAAAAGAGGAATTAGTATAATGCAATACTCGCCAATTTCCCTTTGGGAACTTTAATAAAAGAACTCAAAGAGATTAATAAACAAATAGCAGCCCAAGCAATATACTTTCTCCTTAATTCTACAAATCAAAACAAGCAGTTTGCTATCCTATATTACAAGGATAATAGAAATCTTAACAGAGCACGAGGCATGAACTTTCACTTTCAAGATAGTGAATTGGTCTGAATCACAAGAACAACTAAACTTTGTTTTAACTGTGGAGCCAATAACCATGACTATACCTATTGCTCAATTGCAAAAGAGAATCTAGTACCAAAAGAAAGAACTAACAGACTGGGCCAACCAAGGTTCCAGCTAAACAATACAAGAGAATATCTCCCAACCAAACAAGACAGGAGAACAATATTTAACCTCTTCACCTCAGGACACACATATGCTAGTGTCATCAGAGAATCCTATACAATTGCAAGTAGAGAAAATATATTAGATATTCTCAGACAAATCCAAACAGATATAAAAGCTATCAAATATCAAGTGCATATCCTAGACAAGAGAGTCACAGTGATTGAAGTAGGTTCTCATATCAAAGCCAAAAAACTAGCAATCACAAACCTCTCTTTCAAAATGAATGTTCACCTGGAAGTTCAAGCTTCCAAACTCTATCACCAAAAATATTGAACATTAGATAACAATAGAGACTAATAAATGAAAGAATCAATCAGATGGAATTCACAATGACATCCACCATAAAAGAAATGATAGACTATCTTGATATACTTACCAATATAACTAATATTCCTGAACTGATCTCTTTCTTCCTCTTAAACAGATTATGATTAGGGGAAAGTCAGAAACCAAGCCTGCAATAGGCAAAATATAAGGAAATCCAATACCAATGAACTATTCAATATTTGGAAAATAGGAACATTAAATATTAGAGAAATTAACTCAGAAACAGACAAATAGCAATTTTAGAATATGGACAATAACAACAAATTAATATACTAGAGCTCACAGAAACCTGGCTCCTAGGAAATCAAAAATAGCGTGACAAAGAAGATAAATATCAAATTTGATTAACAAATTCAATACAACAGGCCTATGGAGCAGGAGTCAGCATCTTGATAAAGTAAAAATGGGTACACATATTTTTAGATCTGAGAAATGTATCAACCAAGGAATCACAGTAGATATGGCATTCAAAGAGTGAATTAAATACAGAATAATAACAATATACAACTCATTAGATAAGATTAACAAATAAGATAGGAAAAAACTACTACAATGGTACAAAGCAAAAATCAATGAGGCAAAAATCAATACCATATACATGATAGTAATAGATGATTTCAATGAAGTAGCTAATTATCAAAAGGACCATACCTCAGAAAAAGGTAAGGGAATCAAGCTCAAGTATTTTATCAATTCACTAGAGACGTTCGACTTTGTAGATACATTCAGACAAGTCCATCCTGATAAAAAAAGTTACACATACAATAGAACAAAATCAAATTAGTAGAGCAGATTGGACTACATATGGGTATTCAGCCCATTACAACTATATATCATCAACGTGGAATATATAGAGGTGGAACAATAATTAAAACAGATCACAAAAAAGTAGTCACACACCTCATCACACCACATATATCTTGGAGTAAGTTATAAAAAGAAAAAATAAAGACAGAACATTATCGATTATACAAACTCCAGCCCTAAACAATAGACAAGGTTCACTAGGAAAATAGAGAAAAAATCAACCAAATTTTTCAAGGAAGACTCTACAACAGTAGAAAAAACATATAACATCTCAAATAATCAATCAAGGCAGTAGCAGAAACCTAATTGAAGAAAAAGTGAAGAAGAAAAAACACCAGAACCATATACAAATCCAAATACAAGAAATTTATATAGAGACCACTTAAGATTAATAGCTTATACAGAAAATGCTTGATATGGAAAATAGATCCAAACTCACGTACACTTTTCATAGAAGCACAAATTGCAGAACTAGTACAAGAAATCAACAAAATGAGGACCCTCATAACAGAACCACTTCTGTTTCAGCAAGACTTAATGAGTAACAAAGAGAAAATTTCACAGAAGGTTACTTGAAACAAGAGAAATCTAAAAAATAGAGAACAAAATAGTCAAAATCTCAATTGAAAAAGAAAAAGGAAGAAAAATTCAAAAATATATTGAACAAAGATACAGGAACTTGGAGAAACTTTTAAAAAGAATAATCAATAGTATCTTGGACCATCAAACCAAATTTATAGATACACAGAGATTAATAGAACAGAAATCAAAGAATGAGATTGAGATTATCACTGACCCACTCATAGTTAAGAACAAAATCAGAAAACACTTTCAAGAATGGACAAGACCCAGACAAATACTGAACACAAAAGACT